ACAAATAGAGTTTTTTATTTCTCCAGTTTTGAGGAAGCTGATGATGGTGTTAAGACCATTTGACAAGATTTGAAGCATAATATAAAGCTCTCCATCAGAGGAACTTTAAGAAGTATTCATTGCAATGGCAAATGTGGTACTGTAGCTAGCGGTGACTTCTTAGTAAAACAGACATTTATTTCAGGTTGATCTTGTATACATTTGTTGAGCATGAATCTTATATTTAGTTTACTAATATGACTAATAATAATTTAGGTAATTCTGCTCATTTAGGTGTTGGTTGATATTTATTTCTTGTGAATCTTTTCCTGTTAAATTCTTGTTGCATTACCATTGTGCAGTGATGGAATCAGAAAAAAAAAAAAAAATGTTTTGATAATACCTGTAACAAAGTTTGTTGATATGGAAAGGCGAAGGTGGGAACCGTTGAAATTTTAACATTTAAAGGGTTAGTTCACCCAAAAATGAAAATTCTGTCAGTATTTAATCACCCTCATGTTGTTCCAACCCCGTAAGACCTTCTTTCATCTTCGCAACACAAATTAAGATATTTAAGATATTAAGATCACTCCTGCATACTAGTCCATAGGCTTCTTGAGGGAATGACTTGCTGTCCTCGAAACATCGTTAAAATAGTCCAAGTGACTACAGGGGCTCAATCTTAAGTTCATCAAACGACGAGAACACTTTTGTGCGCAAAAAAACAACAACTTTATTTCAACTTTTCGTTTATTTTTCCCTCTGCGTGAGTCAGGTTACTAGTTTAATAGCGTAAGCTTCTGTTATTGTACGTCACACGCATCACACACATGACCAGCGTCGGCCAATAGTGAGCCTACGTTTGACGTAGCTTTACGCAATCACACTACGTTAACTGACTACAGGCCCATGGAGAAGGAAGTGAATAGTTGAAAAAGTCGTTATTTTTGTTTGTTTTTGCGCACAAAAAGTATTCTCGTCGTTTGATAAAGTTAAAATTGAGCCATTGTACTCACTTGGACTATTTTAACGATGTCTTTAATGACTTTTCGATGCCAGCAAGAGTCATTCCCTCAAGAAGCCTATGGACTAGTATGCAGGAGCGATCTTAATATCTTAAATATCTTAATTTGTGTTCCGAAGATGAACGAAGGTCTTACGGGGTTGGAACAACATGAGAGTGAGTAAATACTGACAGAATTTTCATTTTTGGGTGAACTAACCCTTTAACGTTTAATGATACAATAAACCAACATCAAAACGAAAGTAAAGCGGTGTCCTCTCATGGATGACTGCCATATAAACTAAAACAAAACTTCCACTGTTGTCACTCCTCCTTTAATCTTTCCAGAGCTCGCTCTGTTCTCACAGCTCTTGGCTTTGCTGTGCATGCCAGAATACCGGTGTATAATGATTACCCTCTTTATGTATTATGCCATTTACATGGTACTTAAAGGTTAAGAAAAAGCAAACTTTTAACCAACTGATATTAGCACAGTATATGTCCAAAATGGTATTATCAATGTACCATGTCCAATGAATAAATGATTGAGAGAATGAAAATGAATGGTAAAGAATAAAAGAATGGCTGAAATGAAAAAGAATGAAAGCTTGACCAAAGGGGGGAGAGAGTGAATGAATGAATGAAATACATTTGTACTTGTGAGTTACTCGGCATGGAAGGTGTTTCCTTAACAGTCCAGACCTTTATTCTGACAAATTAATTGATTTTCCTCTCTCTATATAACCCATACAGCTTTTCTTCATGAAACTACACAAAGGAACAAGGCTGTTGTCCCTGAGAGCTCTTCTCGCATAAGTACCACATAAGGGGAAGGTATTCTGTTGTTGACCTGTAGGCATTCTCATGGGAAGAAACCATAGACAAAAGCCCAGGCATGGGAGCAGAGTGGACAGACCGGACAGCCTCTCTGTAGGCACTCTCAAAATATGACTGCGGCCCTTTCAGACACTGAAGCCGGGTGATGACACATACTTGGCAGAGTGAAAAAAACATCCCTACTGCCTGTGTCTTTCTCCCCCGCTTTTCGCTTGCTGGCACAAATAGCAAACAATTGTGCATTGAGGCAAATTTTCAGAAAAAATATCTGAAACCATATGCTGTTAAGATAAGTTATTTAGATATCATTAAGTTAAAAAGTATAGACGCCGGATGGACTTGCGTTATAGGAACACTTGCTGACATCCATGCACTTTGGCAGAGCGAATTTACTAAGCTAATCATGCATCAAGACGTGTATCCGTCCGATTTATAAAGAAAGACAATCCATGGAATATGGTTGAACTGTAATTGGTCGCTTTTGATTCCAGAGACTAGACACTTTGTATGGTTTGTTTTGTTTTGGGCTCGAATTATAAGCCTTTGTTTTGGATCTAGCAAAGCTCTACTTGTCCGAAAACATTGAGGTCGCAGCCTGACACTGCAGCATCGTGGCCGCAGGGCTAAATCTTGCTCCCAGTCTGAGGGAACTGGGATCTAGATTACACAGGACTTATTTTGGATTTCACTTCTCATTAGAGCTGCGGTCATCCAAAATGTAACAACGTACCAGTCACGGCAAGGATAGATTGATAAGCAAACATGCTTTGACAGATGTGGTCACAGGATCCCCAGCATGCTGATTGGGCTCTAGATGAAGTAAAGTGGCCAGATTCAGGATTGCGTGATACCACCAGTCCCCTGAGAGTTGTCGAGAGTAAGAATGTGCTCCTGCATATAAAAAAGCTGCTACTGGACTCCTATCCCTGTGTACGTCCTCTACGGGCAAGAAGTATCAACTCATGCCAGAGATTAGCTTCCACGTTATTTGTCTCAGTAACACCAATTAGAATCATTCTAGGGAGTCAGACTTCCTCAGAGGACTGTCAAGCCAAATCAGGCAGTGGCTCAAGAATTCATGTTCTCGTCATACAATCCGAGAGCCTCTGTTGTTACAATCCAGCACTTGAGCTCCAAGTGTTCCTTTCTGATTCACACTTTATGCGAAAGCCGATCTCTGAAGCCCCTGCCTGCTGGCCCTGGCACAGTCTGTTGTCTTGTCTGAGCTGCTTGGTGTCAAGTCTTCAGGCCATGGAGTTTGTTTTCTCTTGCTCTCCAAAGTATCCAGTAAATTGGCAACTCCTTTCAATTGATTCAGAGGTGTATTTTAACCACAGTGGCTCTCGTGTTATCCCTGTGTTTGGAAGAATATAGATCTAATTTGATGAATGGTTTGGAATAGAATAAAGAAGGTATACCTTAGGGAGATAAAAAAAATCAGGAAAGTCTGCCAAGACAGTTAATGTATCAAAGTCAAGGGAGAGATTTGAAATGTGTCCGATGATGGAGAGCTTTATCTCATGGAGAATGGCCGCAATTTCAAAGCGTCTTGTCAAAATTTCCCCCAAGACTAAGAAGCTGAAGCATGTCCTGAACTAGTTCTTTTTGGCAGTTTAGTCTTTTGTAACATCTCCTCACTTTTCCTAGTTCCATCTGTTGTCGTGGGGAGGAGTGGACGGGCGTTCGCTGCTGGCAACTGCGCAAGTGTGTTAGCTAGTAGCAACGGATAAAAGACTTTGGCTCTACAGCCAGGGATCCATTGCTCTTTTTCCATCATATCTTTCTCTTGTAAACATGTTTCCATTAAACCTTTTGTCTCCATCCGATGGTAATTACACACTCTTGGCACCATTGCTGTGAAGACAGATTATTCTGTCGCTTAGATGGTGCGTTATCGCACTTGTCACGTATTTCCTGTTGCATGTTTTAATTACAGCTTATGTCATTGCTTGCGCTCTCTAAGGAGACTAATTACACTCGACAGTTCAACACCATTTCATGTGTGCAGCCGTGTATTCACGATCACAGGGGGTAGGGGGTGTTTGTTTCACAGCAAGATACCACTGCCTAGGGTTTGAATGACATGGATTTTGGCACGGATGACTACATATGGAATAACGTAACTGCTTAGTTGCTTTGTTTACACATGTTTGTGTTGTTTGCTTGCCTTGAGGACTCTCTCAGTCTTGTTGTGTGGCGCAACACAGCCAGACAACGTGGGCACAGTATGTGTCTATGGCCACTAGAGCATATCCCGCCCTGCCTCCTCCCATTCGCTGCACAACTCTATGCTTTTATGAGGCCTTCTTCAGACATTAGAGTCCCAAAGCCTTCTCCCAGGGAGGGAGGAAACGGCTGCCTACTCCTTCAACTCTTTCCTTTGTCTTTGAGTTTCTTTTTGTCAAAGTTGGATTGGTTTGATTGACAGACATTTGGTAGCACTTTGTGCTTGCTTACGGCTAAATGGAAGTCCTTGTTTTTTCTGATTATCACTTATTTCTTTTTTGGTCAAGTGTGTGGTATATGTCCTCAGTTTCTCAACTTTGAGGAATGTCAGAATCAATGTAAGGTATTCTCACATATTGATTTGCAGTCTCTATTGATCTTTATGATCCCTATGAACAGTTACAGTTACAATTAAAACTGCATAAATCATTTGTAAAATTAGGTTTTTTTATATTTATATTTTTTTCTTCACTTAATTTTAGACTCTAAGTAGTTTTGGCTTAAAATTTAGGGTTTTGTTGTTCATTGTAAAAAATTGGCAAATTGGCAATACATGTACAGTATAAACAAAAGAACTTTTCTATAGGACAAATTACTTTGTCAGCTTACAGTACATGCAGTTGTACTTTCAAACATGGTCTGTGTGTGTGTGTGTGTGTGTGTGTGTGTGTGTGTTTGTGTTTTAGTCATCCTCTCTTGTTTTCTTTTATGAATAAGACTGCTGTGTTGGGAAGAATCAAGGCTTTAACAAGTGACGAATGTCAATCACAACACTCATAGTGCAGCTCACACAATAACAGAACAAGTGGGATAAGGCAAACTCAACCTTCACTCTTCAAAGCAATGTCCTTACATGCATTGTATTTAATCAATTGACAGTTTTAAAAATTTGAACAATTCTGTTAATGTCATTTGACTCTATTCGAACCACCAACTCTTTCTTTTCTCCACACAGCCGTGCTATCAAGACCAACCAGGACCTTCTCCCCGAAACACCTTGGATCAACATCTTCTACGATGACTTCTGGGGGACCCTTCTCACCCACAGCGGTAGCCATAAGTCCTATCGCCCACTCTGCACACTCTCCTTTCGACTCAACTACGCCCTGGGTGCCTTAGATCCCTGGGGTTACCACCTGGTCAATGTGGTCCTACACTGTGCCACGACTGCCCTGTTCTCTAGCCTCTCAAGCCTGCTGCTTGGGTCGGGTTGCTGGAGCCTGCTGGCTGGGCTTCTCTTTGCCGCTCACCCCATTCATACCGAGGCCGTGGCGGGCATTGTGGGCCGGGCCGACGTGGGAGCTGCCCTCTTCTTCCTTCTGGCCCTACGCTGCTACATATGCCATTGTGCCATGAAGACGAGTGCCCACAGGCGAAGCTGGACGTGGTTTTTGGCTACCTTGGCGTGTGCTTCCTTCAGCATGCTGTGGAAGGAACAAGGCGTAACGGTGCTGGCTGTGGCTGCCATGTACGATGTGTTTGTCTTCCACGGGTTTAAGCTACAGCAGGTTCCCGCTCTTTTCCAGAAGGTAAACAGCCTTTATTTGCCATTTGGAAAACCAGCTTTATTTATTTTTTTAATGCATGCATTTGATTTCCTAAACTCTTGCAGTGGCGCGGCAAACTGTGGATAGTGCATGTGTGTGCTGGAGGATAATTTGTATAAACGTTCACGTGTAGTGTTTGCTTTCCATCAGGATAAAATTTGGAAAACATTTTAGCATGTATGTTTAACTGAGTGAACCGTAACAAACCGTACAGTTTTTTTTTCCCCCTTCTTCGTAATGGACTAGAAAAATGCTAGCCAAGGGCAATCAAAAGAAAATTGGTGTTTGTTTGGTGTATTAACATACATGCATCTGGCCTGAGATGTTTGTGTTTTCATTTGGCAGCACACAACGACCTGTAATTACACGAAAACGTTTCTGCACCCCATCAAATTTCGGTAACCTTATTGCATCTATTTTCACTGCCCTGATTTTGAGTTTACTGAACATTGGCTCCTTAAATTTCAATGAACCGCTCTGCTTTCTCAAACTACCGTTCATCTGAACCCGACACGGGTGAAGTCAGTCCCCTGTAAACTCCTGTTTTTAATGAACCCTTTATAATTGGAAATTTTTCAAGTGAGGCCGGAAAAGCCGAGCTAACATTCTGAAATTGTTTTATTAACGGTCAGAGTGACATCGGAACGAATGCTCCTTTAATGACGTCTAATGGTATGGATGTATTGTGTTTACATGAGAATGGTAATTAGCGCAGCAATCGCTCATAAACATTAGAAGTCAGAGTGTGTGGATATTGATTTATGGTGGAGAAAGCTGAACAGGAAAATCAATGATATTAGAAGGATTGCACACAGCGGTGCCCTGCTCCTTAGGGCAGATCTCTGCTCTTCCAAGCACCCGACTATCAGGTCGACTTTTGCTCACCAGGCTTGTCAAAAGAATTTACCATCACCTCTCAGAACAAAGTGACATTCGTAACCCCCAGCCAATCAGTGCAAGCTGGATTGATGTGCGCACAATTTAGAGACCCATTGAATTCTCATGCCAGGGTGTAAAAAATAATGTAAATTCGTGCATTCATATTCATCAGAAATACCCATGGGGGTTGTTGGTGATTTATTACAGATTTATTTATTGCATGTGTTGATATTCGATATATTGGTTGATTTTTGAACCAATGATGAACCATTGTCATCGTGTAATGCTCATTTAAAGTTGTGCCAGGTTATGCCTATTTAATGTTTGAAATCAGATCTTTTCTCAAAGAGAAAGTCTGCATATTTTTTATTTTTGCAAAGGTCCCTTTAGGGGCTCTGTAGGTAACAGTTTTTTTTAGATTTGATAATTTATGTCAATTAATTTATTCGATTCAAATTGAATTGCATTTAACAAAAATGGAAGACATGCTCTGTGTTTGTGTTAGACAGAAATGTGCTCATACCAGAAGAAAATGGGGCAAATGTAGACCTTAAAGTTTATTTCTGACACTTATGGAGATAAATCATACAAACATTGTACAGTACACCAGTGTATTTTGGAGCAGCGTGGCTTTTTATCATGATCTGTGACATCTCAGAGAGAGAAGCTAAGCTGTGAGGCTGTCTGCCTTTGGATTATTCATAGATTGCAGCAGACAGGCCCTCTAATGGCACATCACTTCAGCCCGGGAAGCCTGGCCTATAGGTGAAAAAAGAGCATGATCTCTCATATCTGACAGCTCTTTTCACTCTGATTGACCATCTCCCCATCAGTCATCAGCTCTTCTACTGGCCCAGCTGTCGTTTTAACTATATTAATCCATACAGTAGAAATGCTTTGCTCTGCAGTGTGCCAGAGAGCATTTGCTTGTCCACAAAACCCATGTGCTTCGAATATCCTTTCTGCATCATGTACCGGCTGTGTTTTCACATTGCTGTCATCCGGTTAAACAGTCTTAGCATGTTGTCAGAGGCAAATAATTCCAGATTTACTTCTTTGAGGAGAGACCGTGTCACTCTGACTTATGACAGCTTAACATAAAGTAGAGTCGAAGGGGAAGCCAGAATTACTATGTAAACACAAAAGCATCGAGGCATCTCTAAGATCCGCAAGCCAAAGGACAAATACCTCTCATCTGCCAGGCTGCAGTGCGTTGATAATTCCAGAGATGAAAGCTGGATGGGTTTTAGTGAGGAGACAAACTGCTTCCTACATCCAAGGGCCCCGAAGACTCATTCGACGTAATGAGACGATAAACTAAATAAGGGGGGAATAAACTCAAAAACACCAGCGTTGTCAATGTGGCATAATAAGCACGTCTATAATTCTCTCTGCAATGCACTTTTTGGTGCAATACCGCTGTGGGCTTGCTTAATGTGTGAGGCAGGCACAGGGACATATTAATGGCCGTTCATCGTCTGTCCATATTAAATGTGCAGGCGTGTATAAGAATAGTGGTGTGATCGTAAATTGGGCTGCTTATCTGATTGCGCCATTCAGTTTATGACATCATCCCATAGCTTTATGTTGATGCTAAATCAGGATGTCTGCTACAGTATAACTAAATGCTCCCTGGGCAGCTGGTCTGGACTTAAGACAATTACTTATGGAGATGGATGGTGCTTTCGATTCAATAATCTCAAGTTTAAGAGGGTCTGGATGTTGTGAGATTTCTAAATTGCATTAAAGTGTTTTTTAGAGTCTCCCTGGACTGTTCAGAATACTCAATTTATTTCCTCTAACTTGAGGAAATCTTCTCTAACTTGAATTTGTATTTACGTTATATGAGTAAAACCGCAGTGTTTTGATATGCTTATTAGTAGAGTTAAGTCAAAATGGATGCCACATTGATGTGAATGAAAATGAAGCTAAAAGGAACAGAAGTTCAGTCCGTTTAAAGGGATAGTTCACTTTTGAAATTAATTTTTGATATGTTTTAGCTTACCTCAACGGCATCCAAGATGCAGGTGTCTTTGTTTCCACAGTATTTTCAATTTTGATATTTTTAGGTCGAACCGTTCTTGTCTGTCACTCATATAATGGAGTTTTATGGGGATCACCCTGGGTCCACCGGAAAAAGCAGAGAAGTCCACAGAGAAGTCCAAATTAAACATGATTTAATGACTCGTGAATGTAAGTACACATTGATGGCCTAAGACATGAAACAAGCGGTTTCTGTAAGAAAACGAACAGCATTTATATTGTTTTTACCTCTTGTAACCACAGCCATGTCCAACTGATCTGTCCAACGTACCTAAAAATATCAAAATTGAAAATACTGTGGAAACAAAGGCACCTGCATCTTGGATGCCCTTGAGGCAAGCTAAAACATGTCAAAAATTCATTTCAAACTTAGTGAACTATCCCTTTAATATGTGGTACCGTCTGTAGTGGTCAATTTTTTAGTGGTGCTTCATCTTAAAATGTCACTTCAATGCAAAAATATATTGTTATTCTCATAACGACAAGCACACGGTGATGATGAACATTATAATGTACAAAATTGTAACTAAAGATCAACAAGATTGAACATTTGTGCTTAAGTGTTTTTAAAGATTACAGGTTAGAAAGTGTTGATGACAGCAAGTTAATCTAAAGGGAGAAAATGCAATGAATGAATTCAACATCAGCAAATACATGTTTATCCAAAAGTGAAATGAGTTCATTTTAATAAACGACATGGTACTGATATTTTATACATGTCTGTCCATAAATAATGCACATTTCCAGGCCAGCTTTGCAATCCACCTGACTCTTGTGAAATAATTTTGAGAGATATATTACTGTACCCGAGTTGGACTCGGTAGCACTGACATGACATTTGTTTTCCGCAAATTCAAAAATGGCTAGAAAAATAGACTTATATCTTCTAATAGCATTTGTTTTCCCCTTAACATGGAGCTCATTGTCACAAAGTCTTTTTCCATATCGTTGTAATCATTTACATACTAACACTCTTTTGCCTGTGCCTGGATCAGGGTGTAATGTTCTGGCTGCACATTCCTCACACCTCTGTTGTCTCTCCACCGTAATGATAGCCAGATAGACATATCAGCTGTGAATGCATAATGAGCCATTATAGCCGTGATTCCAATATCCCTGCAAACAGATTTAGCGGCTCTATTATGGTTTCGTTGTTGAGAAAAATCACACTTGCATTTTAGGAAATCAAGCCAGGTCTTGGGTTGCATTTTACTTCTACACTATGGGCATGCTAGAAGTGATTTAAAACTTTGTTTTAAAATCCAATGAGCTGTCTGCATCCTAACATGACCGATTTGTACACTTGCCACATCTGCAACACATCCGTGTAGAACCTAAATATGTGGAGTATTCTACTCAATCAATTAATTCGTAGAAAAGGGTTTGACTATGTATGTTGAGTAAAACAATTACATTTTAAAATAAAATTGGCACAGTGATACATGCTGTGCTAGAATTTCTCTAAAATGATATTAAATACCTAATGAAAATGTATATTTATGTATTTTTTATGGAATATTTTATGGAGTATTTTATTATAAATGATTTATCCCTTTTAATCCGTCGTAATGTTCAATCATAACTTTCCCCGCCACTTGCAGCAACATCTCTTCTTTTCTCTGATTTTACTGGCATGAGGGTTACTCACATGAGATCACGGCAATCCACCACCATCCAACAAATCAATCAATTCCCAATGGACTAAATAAAAAAAGTCCTGCCCTACTAACATTTTTTTTTTCAAGGAGTTTCACTCGCGTATCTTACGCCGACTTCACACTGGCAGTTGAAATCCTCTCCGATACGACTCCGAAATGACCGGAAGTCATTCATTTCCTATGGAAATTCGCAGACTGCATGCGAATGGGTCCAAAACGGAAACGGGTCCGACTGAGTCGTGCGAAGAAAATCGTGTCCGTTGGTCATCCGGATGCGTTAAAAAAATTAAACTCTTGCGAAAATCTACAGGCAGTTCCTATCTGACAATTCCAGCGGAAGTTGAGCGTTGCTATGGTACTGATAAACAAACCTGACTTTTAATTATTAACTTTTAATAAAAT